GATCAATTCCTTTGTCACATGCTCCATGAACCTCAAGCGCTCCATTAGATCTAAGTGATGCATGTTGGACAAGATTTCATAAATCAACATTGATTTGTTTCATTTTCCCTACCTTTTCAATATGTCTATGTCCCATCTCACGTCGCCCTCCTCATGTTGAAACATGGAGGTCGTGTCTAGAAACAAGGAAAAAATATGGAAAACCAATTGGCTTTATTATGAGTACCCATTATCTATTAGTTTTATTATCAGTACCTCATTATCTATTCTTCAAAAACATCATTAAACATGTTAGTTTCTAAAATGACTCATGAACATTATGAAAAACTAGCTGGCTTTATTGTCCGAAAACCTTAATGAGAAACTAAAGCGTTAGAAAACTATTTTATCGACGATGGAAAGCTCATTCAATCAATAGGAAGAAGCAATTAATTGCTATTCAAGAGGGGAAGTGAAAGATTACCAAATTACACTTGATCCTTTCATCATCACCACTACCACCACCTTTGTCACCACCATCCATCACATTCGCCACAACCCACCACCTACTACCTATGTCACCACCTCCTCATCCACCATCACCGCTACCTCCATCTCAACCACCTCCGTAACCATCACCACTACCAACCACCACGACTACCTTTTCCACTACCTTTGCCACCTCCCACTACCATCGCCATCACAACCACCACTGTCATCACCACATCCACCATCACTGCTAGCTCCACCTCTACCTCCTCTATAACCACCATCATCGCTACCACCACTACCTATGCCACCACCTACTACCATCGCCGCTATCATCTTCGCCACAAGAAGGGGAATTATGTTGTTTTATATTATTCTAATTCCATTACTTGCCAACAAAAATGGATATAAAATTGGATTCAAATTCAATTTCCTACAAACTAAATAGAATATGAAATTGGATTCCAAATCTTAACAAATTTCAATTCCTTTATAAACATTTTGAAAACCAAACATCACCTTAAACTGAACTTGCAAACTAAAAAAAAACCTCACCAAACATTTTTTCAATTTACTTTATGTTTTATACATTAGAAATTTTCAACAAAAAAATCATATCATATATCAAACAAAACAATATATTCAATAATTTCAATACAAAATACCACAACCTAATAACTTAAAAAAAATAACAAAATAATTATTATCACCGATCTCATATTTGAGAAATAATTTAATAACTAATGTCTTAAAATTATTTTATTCATATGTAAAATAAATAATTAAATATTATTTTTTATTTCCCTCCAAAATCAAATTATCATTCCCGCTTCCAAAATCAATTTATCATTCCCGCTAATGGATTTTTGTTTCCCAAATGAACTTTGCTTTCCCTCCAAATTTCAATCTCTCTAACTAGTTTGATACTAAGAAGGGGATAAATTGAAGACAGGTAAACACTATTAATTCTTCATTTATGTCTAAAAGGCTCTATAGCCCAGTATCGAAAGAGCAAGGATCGATGATACTGGTTGGTCGTATATAAAGTATTTCGTGTTTTTCTATTTTATTATATGCAAAAGGAATTCAACTGTCAAAATTGCGAATCATTTCTATTGCTGAAGAAAATAGCTTGGTTCTACTTTTGTGTAACGATTCTTATATTTTTGGTCCCCCTTACAAATTGGGTACTTATTTTTGCCATTTTTATTCTATATGTGTTTGCAACTATGCGTTTTCTATGATCCCACTTCAAACTTTACCTAGATTTTGTTTAAAATAATCATAACTGATTCAACTGCATTTAAATTTGTAGATTTTTAATTTGACGTGGGGGATTATAAATGATAAAATTATGAATTTCTGAACTGTGTTGTTATGAATTTCTAACTTGATTATTATAATTCTATCATGATATTGGCAGCTTCATGAACAGTTGACCCAAGAAACATTGAGCTTGTTGGAGTTCTTAGAAAAATATAATACGAGGATTGTTAAGCCTTGTGTGTAGGTTATACACATATACTTTGTTTGGCTTGAATGATATAAAATGTTCTCGATCTCCAATTTGAAGCTCAAGACTTATTATATTGTCCCTTAAATCTAATTGACTATTTTTTGTTCATTGTTTACATTAAGTTTAATGGATTTTAAACGCAAGCCTAATTCATTTTCCGTTTCTGTTTAAATGAATTTAAAAGCTAATCATATTTTACTTCAATGGAAATAAAATATATAGTTTAATTTATTAATAGACAATCAATACAATCTTGAAATGCCGATTACTTAAATGCACTTGAACGCAAGAATTAATGCCCAATTCAGTTTGAGCTTCAAGTTATTATATCAATATTTGAGTTTGAGTTTCATATTCTGTACACGAGATTGGCTCGAGTACACTCCTAGACACAAAACCCGGTTGTTGAAAAACGGATCCTATAGCCCTTTTATAATTTGTGTTTGACAGTCATAGAACTCGGTTGTATATTAGAAAACGGGTCTTATTATCGTACGGATAAAAGTCCCGGTTGTAGCAGCAGAAACCGGGTTATCTAAGATGGATATAAATCCCGGCTATTTGTTTGAAGCCGAGTCATATAAACTTGCCCTTTATAAAACCCGGTTTTTACAAAATAAGACCCGTTTTTTCCAGAAACCGGGTTCCATATGGCGGGTCTTATTTGTTTTTTTGTAGTAGTGTATAGTACCTGTTATTGTTGACACGATGACCATCAATCCAAAATGGTTGAGGGGGAAAGTCTCGTATGATACTGTGATGCAATTTAGGAGTTAATTAGAAGTTGTATGTCGTTTAAAAAATTAATTACTAACGTATGAAAAACCATACATGTTTTCCAAATTTGTAGGTATGGAGTTGGCCATGGTGTGTGCAAAAGTGCGTTCATGTGTGATTATTTTGACTATTTCCCGAAGGCTAGTAATCATAGTAGCCGTGAAGACACTCATCTACTTTCTCATCCTAATGGCCCTCAAGGTTCTCCTACAATCAATTAATCAATTACGAATAACAAACTCTAATGTTTAATTGCTACAAATGGTAATAAGAGCTCTTATGACATTGCTTAGTTACGTGATAGATATTATGGATTTGCTCAATTGATATAATGCTCAATTGATACAACTATCTGCATGTGGTTGATAAAGCAACTAATTTGTAAAAAGTATGGTGGATGTCGTAAAAAAGGGTAACAAATCCATTGAATAAAAAGTATGGTGGATATCGTAAAAAAATGGTGACAAACTACCTCAAATGTTCAAAAAGATAACCATGAATTAAAAAGTTACTATCAAAACGTAAGATACCACAACTTTTATTCAAAAAATATAATTGTTACCTAATATAGCTTATTTTACCCGCTGATGTGTGATGTTGTCATTCTTTGTGGAAAAAACGATATCGTTATACATCTTACGTGCATGGATGGTCCATTGGTTTCCCATGCCGTGGGAAAAAAACTAAAATATGCCCTTATATGTATGGGAATTGAATATCTATATAGATTGACAAATATGCCCCTAGTTACTTAAGAGAGTGAAATACCAATCTTTCTTTCAAAAAACTCACACATGAACAAACCACGTACAACAAACATACAATTCTTTATCACTAGTTGTGAGACCCATGTATCACATGGGTTAATTTTCTTTTTAAAAAAAGTTAAATATAAATGTCTAAATATTTGAGAACTTTGAATTTATAAGAAAATGAGAAAAATAATGAATTATTAAAATTGAAATGTTTTTTTTTAACTTTTAAATTTAAACAAATAATTTAAATAAATACACAAAAGAAACTAATGAACTTTAATTTGAGAATTTTGAAATTAAAATGTAAGTTCATTAATGAAATTGATATATATTTATTAGTATATTTATTGTAACTACTATATCTATATTAAAATATTACTGAAATTTAATAAAGTAAGAAAATCCATAAAAATGACATAGGGAAAAAATAATAATTTAAAATAACTACAAAATGACATTTGGTAAATTGAATGAGAGTGTGACATGTGGTAAAAAAACCTTCATTTATTATAGTAGATTTGGTGTTGCTACAGTCGATTCTTTTTTAGCCACCAACATCGTACAAATAGTAGCCTGATGTGCACATGGATATATCCATGTAATCATGGAAATATCACCAAAAATCTAACACAATCTTATTAAATGGTAATAAAATTTAACAATCCAATAAAATTTTAATTCTTGGGAAATAGTTCCCTTTTTGTTTTTTTTCAACAAATTTCATCTAACAATAAAAAATACTAGCAGGAAACTAGCTAAGACAAAATTTTAAATAGATCACAATAAAAAATATCTGGTCTATGTACAAAAACATGAATACCTTTGTGATCGTGTTGTTTGTTTTTGTTAGGTGGATCATACGACCAATGACGAGTGCAGTTTTTGGTTAGCAACACGGAAACGAATAATCAGGATTAGACAAAATATGGGATAGACGAAGCATAAGTCATAGAGCTCAGGATGTGGTCGGTTTTTTTTTTTTTTTTTTTTAAATTAATTTGGATGGTTTTGAATTTAAAGAAGTTAGATTACAGGGTCTTTCCATGGCTATGGTTTTTGTTTGTGTATTGAAAAAGATTTCTTTTTCTTGAGTAGCACTACTAGAAACTTGATCTTTAGCGACGGAATCAGCTACGGATTCTATCCGTAGCTAATCTACGACGACTTACCAAGGGATCAACGATGGAATGCAAGAATATTTCGACCAACATACTTATATAATTTTAGAGAGGTATTAACGAGGGATCATCGACTGATTGCTAAGAATTTCTCGACAAAAATATTTCATCGTTAATCCATCTCAAATTAAAACCTCTTAGCGAGGGAATAACGATGGATTGCTAAAAATCACAGGCCTGGCCCTCGCAAATCGCTCGCAGAAAATTGACGCCTCATTTTTTCATTGCCCGCTTTTCTTCTTTTTCTCGTTCCCTCGTTTTATTTTGATTCCCACCGATTTCTTTCCCAAAGCCCTAATTTACCCTATGTCGAATCAAATCCCTCTCACATCCTCTTTGGCTTCCCTATCGATTCGTCTCCATTCCTCATTGACTTATCGTTTCCCTGCCAGCACCGTTCAATCCTCTATTGTCTCTTCAGATCTCCTAGTATAACTGCTCAGCAATCTCCACCTCTATCATAAACTCGAGAAAATTAATCTGAAGTAGTCTTCATCAACTTTCTGATAATCAAAATATTCTGATTTGAGTATAAATTAGCATATGGATTCTTTTCTAGATTTGAACCGATATTAATTTGGTACCGTGCATAGGTATTTTACAAGGGGCTCAAATTCAAAACGGCAACAATCATAAGTTCCAGAATTTCTGTACCTATTGTCGGTAAGTATTTTTGTTCCAATACTCTTCTTTTCTCTATGCTTATCTTCTTTGTAGGATCCATGTTTGACTTTTCGGTCAAAGATATTGCTCTTGAGTTAGAGATTTGTTCATGCTCTGTGATATCTCAAGAGTTAACATCCTGAATTTTTGTGGACAAATTCAATTTTGATGTTTAAACTGAATTTTAGAATTTCACGAGCGCTCAAGCGGTCGATCTCGTGGTTTTTGATATGTAACATCTGCAACAGTTGAAGATGACAAGGCAAGTTATTGTTTATTACTTTTATTTAAAATTTCTTATTATATACAAGATTGATAGATCTTCATACTTGTTAATTTAAATAATTTTATGATGATAATTTTTATAGGCTGCACTTGCGAGTGAACACTTCCTAAGGAATAGAGCACTTGAAGTAAAAATAGCTACACCAAAGGTTTTTTTCCAACACTTTATCATATTTCACTTCTGAAATTTTCATAATTTTAATCAAATTTGCTGTTTTTCTTCTTCTTTAGGAGGAAATGAGAGCACCTTCAAAAAAAGTCACCAGGATATTTGTTGCTAGATTTCCTCCCTTAGTTATAGAAGATGAATATAGGAGGTAGATTTAATCATTTTATACACTCTATAGTTTTCTTTTGCTTACAAAATGTTTTTTTTTCCAGCCATTTTGATAAATTTGGTGAAATTACGGATTTGTACATGCCCAAGGTACATAAATTTTTATATTTTCTTCTGTTAATTTGTTTTATAGGAGCTTAATATTTTATTTCTTTAGGATCCAAGTACCAAAGGCATCGTGGAATTGGTTTCACTACTTTTGCAACTGCTGGTAATTCCATTAAAGATTGTAAAATCCGTATTCATTAACTTTTAGTTTTTCCCAGTTTACCCTTTTTGGGATTCTTTATGCTTTAGTACTAATATTCTAATTTTTTTGTTTTTGATATAACTAGGAGACTATTGACCACCTACTCTATCCTAATCCTGGATCAGGAATGATACATGAACAACATCTTCAGTTTTTCCATTTTCTTGGAATTATACTCGGAAAGGTAAGCTAAATGCTATTTAGTATTCTTAGGATCATTAGTAACTTCATGCAATTAGTTATACAAATATTTTTATGATTATTATGGTTTCCAATGTGCTCCATGTGTTGAGTGGTTGTTTTCTTTCAATAATTACTGATTTTTTTTAGTTTCATAAAGTTATCTGCTTTTAATTTTGGGATTGTTGGACTTTTGAATTTATTATGTTATGCTCTATATTCGCATAGCTATCTTTCATCTCTTAATTCCAAAATATATAGTTCATGTGCATAATCTTGTATATTTGGGAGTACCTTGTATAACCTTATCTGTTCTATGGCACATTTTAAAATCATTCAATACAAATTGAAGTTCTTCATTTGTATATCGAACAGTTTATCTTTATTATAAAACTTTATGATGAACTTGTTATTCTTTGTCCTTTGATTCATTCACCCCTCCTTGATGTTGTAGGCAATGTTTGAAGGGATGCTTGTAGATATACCATTTGCAACTTTTCTCTTGAGCAAACTAAAGCAAAAGTAAGTTCTTCAAGGCACCCTTTACTTATATAACCATACTGTCTTTATCTTTTCATGGTAACCACATTTTCAGTCCTCCTGCTATCTAAAAGTTCCATGTATGCATACAAATCTCACACGCTAAGGGAGTAATCTGTTAGCATTTCATATCAACTTTCTGTTCAATACAAACAAAAAGTAAGTAGGCAGAATAGAAATAAAAAAAGACACAAGAAAGTAGTTAAATTATAGGTGATTACTATTATCTTGAAATATGATAATTAAAATAATGGGATGCCCTTTGCAGAAATTTTTGATGTTTCCCTGTTAATATAATATAAGTTTTGGTCTTCTTTTATTTGAATTGTGAATATGAAAATATATCGTGTAATTCTCTTTATCAGCCTCCTACACATTCTAATGAACTAGGGGGGTCAGCTGTGGTTGTTGACCGAGCAACACCCAAGGAAGATGATTTCCAGCCAGTTAGTCGGATGTCTCACGGCGGCAGTAACAGTGGTGGTGGTGGTGGAGGAGGAGGTGGTGGATATGGTGCATATAAAGCGTATGTGACAACTAGATATTCTGCATTAGGTGCTCCTACATCATATGATTATCCGGGCCCCATTTATGGAAGTATGTTTTCATTTTCATCTCCATAAAATTAAATTAAAAATAATCAAACAATTTTTTTAATTAACATTGACTTTGACTTTGATTGTCAGGTTGTTTTTGCTGGGTACTCTACAGAATCACTTCTTCAAAGAATCATGGATTGCAAACCAAAGATTGTGGTAACTTGCAATGCGGTTAAAAGAGAGAAAAAAGTACTCAATCTCAAGGATATTGTTGATTCTGCACTCTCAGAATCATCTCAAAATGGAATATCTGTAGGTGAGAACTTTTGTTCTTATAGTTGATGTTTTCAGAAAGCATATGTATATTTTTTTACCTTTTCATGACATTGATTTCTATGTTGCAAAATAGATTCATGCTTGACCTACGAAAATGAATCATCTATGAAGAAGGAAGATACCAAATGGCAAAAAAGAAGAGATATTTGGTGGCAGGTAGTACTACTAATACTATTTTATTTCACAGATATTAATATATGATCATGTTCATTAAACTTTAGGCCTTTTGGAATTTTTTTCCATTATACTTTTTTTTGCAAGATGTTGTTCCTAAATACTCTGCACTTTCCGAGGCAATTGGAATTGACTATACTGACCTTGAAGAGGTCAGCAGAAAAAAGAAACCAGAATACAAATTTCAATTTTTTTTTTAAAATGAAAGTAGGAGGCTAACTCAATCTTTTGTAGCTGGAGCTGTAATGGAGTGTGTCTTTATTAACAGAATGTTCAAGTTCTCCTAATGTCAATACAAGGTACATCTTTTCATACAAAATGACTAAAACATGCTTCTTCAATGAGGAGGGTATTTAGGTCATTTGTACAATTTGTTGTGTCATGTCTTGACAAATTGGGACATTATCGCAGAAAAACATTGGCTAATGCTTTGTCAGTTGGACCATCGATGTGGACCCTTGGCAATGCAAGCATGGGAGCCTTACAGGTAACTGATTTTATTTTCATGAGGAAAGGGTATTTTGGACATTTAAGTGATAGGGGTAGAGAATTGTGTGTTTATAAAATATTAGAGTTTAGGATAGTGATAGCTTTGATGTCGGGTACTTTTTAAGTTTTTTAAAATAATATTTCATGATATAACCTTTAAATAATATGTGCAAGTTTTTTTTTCATATTTGTCAGCATTTGATTTCCAGAGCTCTTGGGTGGTACCAACAACTGTATTGATAAGGTTTGTTGCATGCGATCAAAAAAAGGGCCAATGGCACCAGAGACCATGAAGGTTAGTTCTGTAAATTTCATCCTATATAAAAATTATGCATCCATTTTTATAAATGCTTAATGTGCATTTAATTTTGGTATGTGGTAGATGGTCCATAATGGTCAATACAAATGTTCAAAGATCAAATCCCAAAAGAGAAATTTCTGAAGACCAATATGCAAACACGGTATTTTCTTTCACCAACATGTTTTTTTATATATTTTTTGGTCGAAATCGGAATTCAATTCCATTCTTGTATTGTATTTAGTTTAGCTTCAAATGAGTAGACAATAATGTCCTTTATCAACAGAAACGCATGTCTCCCCCCATTGCAGGAACAAGTAACTAGAACTTGGTTCGCCTAATTTCATGGGATTTAACGGGTTTCGGAATCCAATTCCATTTTGGTCCTTCTTTTGGATGCAGTGCAAGACATAAAGCAATGGAGAATATGTATGTGGAAATGCAAAATATGAGACGAAATTGAAATTACGATAAACATTGATATTTGATGTTTTTGGATGTTGTGTTAAACTTTGATATTTGATTTTAGTATTTTAATATTAGTGTTTGGTTTTGGATTGTATAATTATTTGATTCCTTTGGTATTAATTTGTTATTGTTTAGTTTGGGATTGTATAATTATTTGATGTTTTTAGTATTTTTTATAATAAAAAAATTAATATTATAAATTTGCGAGGGATCATTGACGGAAACAAAAAAAAATCACATCTAAAATTTGCTAGTGATCAGTGACGGAATATAAAAAGACAGATTTAGAGGTTTGCAAGGGATTAGCGACGGAAGATTTTTGTTGTTGAGTCCTAAATAACGGTATTATGGGACCAATTTGCGATGGATATTGTCGTCGCAAGGAAAAACTTTTCCGTCGCTAAATCTCTAGCTAAGTCATTAGCCACGTTTTATTTGGCTATGGAGTAACTCTGTCACAGATCCGTCGCAAAAGACCTTTAGTGACGGAATAGCGACGGATTCATCCGTCGCAAAAACCCATGTTTCTAGTAGTGTAGCTAAAGGACATAATTTTGTTGAAAATCGAGAGCATAGTTTTTATAAAATACGTTTGGGCTGTAATTGTAATAATTCTTATACTTTTAGCATCTTGGTTTTTTGGTGATTTCCTCATATCTTGTAGGCCTCATTTGTTATGTAGGACATGAATGATAGAATAGAATGACCTTCATTGTTTGACATGAATTAGATCAGATCAAACTCAATAAGACAGTTTATAACTTTGTTTCATCCATAAATAAACGTTACACACAAGCATGCAAATCACTTGCTTCAAGGCTTACATGTGATAACATAATGAAAATATGTGTTTTCATGCATTCACCTCCAACAATGATTCTCACGAAGGTTATAAGAGGTGTTTGAAAAGTTTGTGAGCATACCAATACCACCAATTCCGGTTCTGATTCTGGTTTTTTCGGTTCTTATACACGTTGGACTGGTACAAATTTAGTTGCGTATAGTACAAGTTGTTGAAGCAGTATAATAAAAGCTGAAAATCTTTTAGCTTTGATATCCTGATTTTAGGGCATTGTAATTCATTTAATGAGGAACAAAAAATGATGAATTACATCCTAAATGCAAGTACAAACTTTAAACTACATGTTAAAAAAATATCATGTCAATCCGTTTTTAAACGGATGAGATATGTATCTTTTAAAAATTTCATAGATTACAAAATACAAATAAAAGTTGAAAAGCTGAAAAACTCTCAACTTTGATATCCCGACTTCAGGGGACCATAACTTATTAAATATGTAACAAAAAAAAGAGAAAATCACAGCCTAAACTCAAATACAAACTCTAAACTACATGTTGAAAAATATCTCATGTCAATCCGACTTCAAACGAATAATACAACACATCTTTTGAAAATTTCACAGATTACAATGTATTGTTTGTGAGTGTAAACCAGACTTGGTGTGAACCTGACATCAGTAGCTGCGCCTCTATCTATGTTGACAATAAGAACTCAAATGACAACTTCGTATGTTCACATAATGAACACAATAAATGGTAGCAGTAGTAATTGTAGGCTTGTTTAAGTATAAATAGAGGCTCTAACCTCAGTTGTAAGACACCACAAAACAGAGAGTGTACTGTGTAATACTTAGAGTGAGTATTAGAGGGTTGTTTCTTTTTCTTGTAATATTGAGCGTGTAAGCTCTTCTCTTTTGTTCTAGTTCTGAATAAAAGTGTGTTTCAACCCCAACAAGTGGTATCAGAGCTTGGTTAAGCTCCGGGGGAAGCATTCTCTGTTTTTTGGTCGAAATTTTTTTGTCTCAAAAACAATTTCGGAGTACACCATTGGAAAGGTCTCGTTCTGAGGATTCCGAAAATATATTTTTTTTGAATTTTTTGACCACCGGAAGGCCTCCAAATCACCGGTCAAAGTTGGTCAAATCTGCCGGAAAAGTCGCCGGAAAAACCAGGGTTCGCCGGAGAAGACGGTACTGTAGCAGCACTGTAGCAGTGACATCAGCAGCTGACCAAAGTTCTGGAAATTGCAGTTTAGCCCCTGTTCTTCCGGAAAGTGCAATTTAGCCCCTGTTTTTCAGAAAAATTGCAATTTTGGTCCCGTTTTTCAGAAAAATTTCAATTTAGCCCCTGTTTTACTTCTGTAAAAGTTCTGTTTGCCCCCTGAACTTCTGAAAAGTTCATATTGGTCCCCGTACTTCAAAAAAAAAAATATATTCTTACTCGTGTATGCCCAAGTATATGCCAAGAATGACTACACCAACCTTGTCATCTTCTCAAGCCGGAGTTGAAAGTTTTCAAAGGACCGGGAAAGACGGTAGCGTTACGTTACACTATCCAATGGTCACGAAGATGAACTACGCGGTGTGGGCCATAAAAATGCGAGTGAATTTACAAGCACAAGGAGTATGGGATGTAATTAAAAATGCAGAAACGGACGAACGTAAAGATCGGATGGCTCTTGCGGCTATTTATCAAGCAATTCCAGAGGACGTACTTCTGATGTTAGCTGAGAAGGACACAGCTAAAGAAGCATGGGAAACGCTCAAGATGATGCACATGGGAGCCGATCGGGTCAAGGAGGCTAAAGCTCAAACCTTGAGAAGTGACTTCGAGGTAATCCGGATGAAAGACAGTGAATCGGTAGATGATTTTTCCATGAGATTGAATACTATCGTAACCGGTATTCGATCTCTTGGTGAAAAGATTGAAGAAATTACGGTTGTGAAGAAGTTTTTGCGAGCCGTACCGATACGATTTATACAAATCGTAACATCGATCGAGCAATTCGGAGATTTGAAGAATATGACGGTGGAAGAAGTTGTGGGTCGTCTTAAGACCCATGAAGAGAGACTTCGAAGCTATGGAGAAAAAGAAGAAGGACCTTCTCTATTGCTTACACATGCCGAGTGGGCATCTCGTTCGAAGCAAACTGGCGAGAGAAACTCGTCAAACACTTCAAGAGGACGAGGAGGACATGGTAACCGAGGCCGGGGACGAGGCCGAGGTCGTGGACGTGGCCAAGGAGGTGGTCGCGAGTACAATACAAATCGGAATGACCATAATCCTTCTCGAAAGGATAAAAGTAAAATCAAATGCTTTACTTGTGAACAATTTGGTCATTATGCTTCGGAGTGTCCAAACAAGAATCGAGGTGAGGAGGCAAACCTCACTCAAGCCAACGAAGAAGAGCCTATTTTAATGATGGCAACCTCACAAGAATATGCACACAAAAAGTGTCTCTAAGAGAGAAGATTTGTGTTAATCTTCTTGCATCGGGAGAAAGTCGAGTCGAGTCTGAGGTATGGTATCTCGACAACGGTGCTAGCAATCACATGACTGGAGACCGCTCAAAGTTTCGCGAACTAGATGAGCACGTTACGGGCCATGTGAAATTTGGGGATGGTTCGACCGTCGCTATTTTGGGAAAAGGGTCGATTTTATTCGATAGCAAAAATGGCGACCAAAGACTCCTTAATGAGGTATATTTCATTCCAAGTCTAAAAAAACAATATTATTAGTCTTGGACAAATGACGGAGGAAGGGAGTCGGGTCATAATGGATGGGTCGGATCTGACATTGTTTGACAAAAACAAAACTCTACTTTTGAGAGTTAAACGATCCCCAAACCTGTTATATAAAACTCCTTTAAGGACCGGTAGACCGACTTGTCTTTTAGCAACAAAAGACGAACCAGCTTGGATATGGCATTCTAGACTCGGTCATGTTAACTTTCTCGCCTTAAAGAAGTTGTCCGAAAAGAATATGGCAATCGGAGTCCCAAAGATTGAGCACCCAAACCAAGTATGTGAAGGGTGCGTTCTTTCCAAACAAACCCGAATTCCTTTCCCGGATCATGCAGTTTTTCGAGCTCAAAAACCTCTACAACTTGTTCATGCGGACTTATGTGGTCCGATCACACCTACGTCTGTTGGAGGGAGTAAATATTTTCTCCTTTTAGTAGACGATTTTAGCCGGTGGATGTGGGTTTACATGCTATCGGAGAAGTCTCAAGCCTTGAGCGCTTTCAAACGGTTCAAGTTGATGGTTGAAAAGAATTCGGGTTATCAAATAAAGAAACTTCGAACGGACCGAGGGGGAGAGTTCACTTCAAAAGAATTCTCATTATTTTGTGAAGAAAATGGTATTCAAAGGCATCTTACGACACCATATTCGCCTCAACAGAACGGAGTTGTAGAAAGGCGAAATCGGACCGTTATGGACATGGCAAGAAGTCTGCTCAAAGGTAGAAATGTTCCGGGAGAGTTTTGGGGAGAAGCGGTTAGACATGCAGTTTATCTTCTCAACCGCCTGCCAACAAAAGTACTTCCCGACAAGACGCCTTATGAAACGTGGTTTGGCAAAAAGCCCAACCTTGAACATCTAAAAGTTTTTGGTTGTGTTGCTTTTGCTAAACTTGTAGGTGGTCACTTGAAGAAGCTTGATGATCGAAGTAAGAAGATGGTGTATTTAGGTGTGGAAGATGGAACTAAAGGCAACCGTTTGTTTGATCCACAAGACCGAAAGTTGCGAGTTAGTCGCGATGTTGTTTTTTACGAAAAAGAAGAATGGAATTGGTACAAAAACAAAGAAGAAGAGATGGCGACTCCTAAGACCTTTACCATAATTGAACCACAACCCCAAATACACCTCGAAACACCTCAAAACCTTTACCATAATTGAACCACAACCCCAAATACACCTCGAAACACCTCAAAATGACCCCGAAATCAATCCGGAACAACCAAACAGCCCAGGAATCGATGCTATCCAAGTTGGACAACCATATGCTGAATTTGACGAGCCTGAACCAGCTCCACATACTCCTGTCTCAGCCCCGTTTTCTTCAACCTCGCCCCATATGGAAAGCCCTTCTAGTGAGATTGGGCCAAGGGGATTGCGTCCGTTAACCGATATTTATTCTGAGACCGAAAATGTGTTCCTTGAACCCGGAGAATTGTTGATGATTGCAGCGGATCAACCC